CGCGTATATGAGTGTATACATACATACATTTTTTTGCTAAAACAAATGGTGCGCACTAAAGTATGTTTTTATATACAAATTTATTTTCTAGTAATTCTCTAAATTCAGGTTTTTTTTATTTTCTTAAGTTTTCTTATGCGTTTTGAAATAATGACTCTAAACCTTTCAATACTTCCAATACTTACAATCGAACACCATTCATCCTATTTTACTTTGCTGACCTAGACGAGCTGTCTTGGCTTGATTGTGTACTGTGGTGGTGTTCGGTCTACACTTAATATTAGAATCCCACAGAACTAATAAACAAGAAAAAATGTTAACTTTGGTTGCACCGAAGCTATGATACCCATCACAAATATTATACAAAAAGTTCTTCAGAATAATTGTGATTGCTCAGTTTGTTTCACAGCTATATGCTATAGTTATCAGCTATGTAGGAGACTAGAAAGATAATCTTTCGATTAAATTGATCTCACCTTCGTTTTGGTAAAATATTTTTCATTCTTCTTCAACATCATTTGTTTTTGTCAGCAAATTTTGTTTTTATCTTTTTATATTTAAGACAGACTCTAAATAAAATGAATCAAAATAAAATGTTATGTAAAGAAATTAATTAACAAAAATTAATACTGAACTCGGTAAATCGATACTTCATGAAAAATGGTAAAAAATTCAGAACATTAAAACTAAATGAAATTAATTAGAAAGTATTTTTCAAATTTGCAGCCAGTTGGATCACTATTTATTTGCACTCAAAAAGGCGTAAAATTTGCACATTAAAAATGAAAGGCAATTTTCCCGACACCAAATGCGCAGTTATGCAAAAAGCTGGTTTACTCAAACCACGTGCTTACAAGTATTTCTCTACATTTTACATTCTCGTAACACCCTTTTGGGAAATTAGTGAGTTCATGTTGGATGATCTTAATGTATGAAAATCATGAAGCAATAATATTAAGCTTAATCAATCAAATATTATTTGGGCTTTCATGTCATCTTATATTAAAGATAAAAATCTGAAACGCCTTTTTTTAAATACCTTTTTTTCATATAAAAAACTAAATATTTTATTCAAACTGTTTGTTATTTTGGAGATACATATTTGACAAGGATTTTATGAAATTTCCAAAGGAAAATATTGAAAACTCGGTCCTTACGACGCCATTTCCGACAGTAACTCAAAAAAAGGGTACTTCCGCGTTGATAGCAGAATTTCTGACAGAATAATCAAAAGTAAAAAAAAAATAAGTGTTTGAACTAAGACCATTAATTTGGATGGAGAAAAAACAAATAAATTTTTACGACATTTTATTGTTTTAAATAATTGTAATTTAAACAAGATAATTGTAATTGAATTCAAGACCTTCTAAAGGATGTCCTGAAAACCTGTGTAAAATTTTATTAAGATTGGTTGAGAAATTCGCGAGATATATCTTGACAACCGACTTTCAAAACACAATTTCGAGAAAAACGCCTTTTTCAAAGTTGTATCTCCAAAACTATAACTGGGATGAACTAGAAAATTTCGAACAGTATTCTTGAGATGTTATAGAATTAAATAAGATCAAAATTTTTTTTATGTTTTTCAAGCCGTGAAACCAACTTTTAAGAAGTTAAAGTGGTTAGTATATCATCCAGTCTCATTGCCGAAAATAGTGGCTATAAACCGTTCAAACTTACTGGGTTTCAAAGATTTTCCGCTGGGCTTTTATAAAATACATGAATGTAGGCTTATCGGTAATACAGTGCTTCTGGGTCTACAGATAATTACAAGCATTGCAAAGCATTTATATGGAACATATTACTTTCGACTACTTTACAACATCAATACATGTACGAGCATTAATTCACATATACATGCATAATTGCGTGTGTGTTTGCAAATATACACATTGCCTCCTTTACCATATTTGTGAAGTTAACCGAACTGAGTCATGAAAATGAGTTGACATCAGAAAGTAATAAAAACGTTTGATGTGCGTTGGCACGCTGCGCACACAAAAACATGCAAGTATACATACATACTTGTGTGTAGTTAGTAAAAAAATAATAGTGCGACTGCATTTGTGTTGTGATTGTTTCCTTTTTGCATTTTATCCGCCTGTTGATTTATCAGCGGGCATTTTATGCTGTTGTTATTGTTTTTCCCCCATTATCCTTGCAACTGTATCGCAAACTGTGAAAACTTTTTGAACTTTGTATGTAGCTTATATACACAAACCTACTTACTCACGTAATCGTTATTTGATGCTGTTCCCTTAGCCTACATACAGGATATTAAGAGCTACAATATTAAACTATGGTACATAGAAAATTTCCTATATTAAATTTTCATCAATTGCTACTCCTCGTTCTTAGCAGCTCAGTATGTTTAAAGATTAAGCAAATTGAGTTCCGACTATTTGGTGCAGATTATTACGAAGCAATCAGGGCACGTTTTGAGCACAAACTAAAAGTAAATTGCAAAATTTAATAACTACAAGTATATACCGAATAAAGAAGCTATGTGTGTGAAAGTTAGAGCAAAGGGAAACACCAGTCGTAAAAGTGAACTTGAACTTATAAGGTACTACTTAATACTTCTCCTATTTTATATATCTCTAACCTACCAGCGTTCATTGTGATACATACGTTTTTTCTTTTGTTGTGTGTATTGGTAATACAATAATTACTGATCTACTATTAAAAATGTATGCATTAAAATGAAACAGTATTGAAGTCTTGATCAATGTGATGAAGAGTTAGCTCAAGTTGAATTTTTTGGATGGGAGCAGGGAACGTTAATAGTGAAATTTACGTGTACTTACATTAAGACATATATTTGATATAAATCTATACATTGTTTTGAAATCATTCTAATACTAATACATTGTTTTGAAATCTTCTCATTGACAAAATTCTGCTTGATAACTGCACACAACACCTAATAATATCTAACATTATTAGTGCACTGTTTAATCTGCATGTATTAAAATTCTCATATTTCATAAGCTCACACAGGTCGTATAACATAAGTAATATATGCACCGAAAACGCAAAATAACGTTGCGAAAAGAAAAAGATGAAAGATTAAGAGAATAACTTTATGGCAACAGCAATTGCACCCGCTTCAACTGATAATTGAAACCTCATTCTATATGCACATACTCATATGAACATACCCTCCGCTTTGACAGTGTCGACTGAATTTAAGCAGATTTGTCACATATTCACATTTTTCACATAGTCACATTTTTTACTCTTTTCCTACTGTATAACACTCAAGTTCTTTTCAGGTCATCATGTAGTTGCCCGCTATTTGCTCCTAGACGTTTTTTTTTTTAGTTTGACAGTGACGAAAGAAAAGTATTAAAGGCGCGTTAAATACATTGGTAAGAGAAATTCAAAAATGTGAAAAAAGCACGGCTATTTATGCAGGCATTTGGCTGCTCAATCTAATCTCTTTAGTAGGAAGTATGTAGAGTTAGTCATTCTTTAGTTTTAACAGTGTATAAGATAGTATAAAAAGCAAATAACCATTTCAGTGACGTTTTCACGACCCCTAATTAATTTATTTTTTCTATTTACCATTTTAATTAACCTAATACTTTAATTAAATCAAAAATCAATCATCTAAACTCAATGCGATTTGAATTGATATTTATTGTGCAAATTCATTAATTTTCAAGTATAATTTCTTTAAGTTTAAGCTTTGAAGTGTTTTGTGCATAAATTTTTATATTTATTCCCGACTCGCCAAGGGATTAAGAATTGTATCATTTGCTCAATTCAAACTTGCCCAAATTCGCTCATCTTTATGATAATTGGCCTTTATACAATTCACCATGTCTGAAGTTACGGTTATGAAGCTTTATACCAAAAAATTTAAAAGCACTTTGTTCCCTCAGAAGCTTTTTAAAGTTTGTTAATTGTGTGGTACTTATTACTAAAGTGCCTTATGGATTAACAAAGGATTTGGTATTTTCTGATTGTTATTAAAAATTCAGTAATTTAAATGTGATCAAGTGCTTACTTTCTGCAAAATTAAGTAGTTTAGATTGTGGTTTTGGGTACTAAATTAAGTGTAATGAAAGTGATTGAATAGAATATGCAGTTAGTTAAAACGAAGTTAGTGAATACAAATAGATGAATGTTAAAAATGGTTTTCAAATTAGTTTTGATTTAAATATTATATAAATGCTCAACCACAATCGAATTTCACCGATTTTGCTTCTCGCTTATATTTAAAATCATTTCCTGACACGTTTTATATTATATTTTATAAATTGTTGAGATAACTCAAAAAAAAAAAGGATATGTAAGTGTCTAAATAATTTATGAATCTTATGTCTGAAGAATTTATTGTTGCGAAATTTGTATATCGTCTATTTATGTGAAATAGTTTGTATATATGTAGGATTCTATTCCTTTTATTTAAAAATATTTGCACTCTTTTGGTTTTCAATACTTTCCTTCAAACTACTTACACGTTTTTATTTTATTAATATTTTCACGCTTTAAAATATCCGATAATTTTGTACTGAAAATTTCGTTTTACAACAGAATACGCATATGCGTTATAGTTATAGTTCGTTGTCAGTCTATGCCAGTCAAGCCTTGTTAACGGGTTTCTCCTCCGTGTGGCACCTGCTTTAACTTCATATGTTTCGACTGCAGAATCTTCAGAAACCTTTTCCTCCTTGTCTTTTTTACAGTCATACTAGATCGCTTTCAAACTTCTTTTCTTTGCATTTCCAATCTCTGGCACGAGCCTCAATCTGTTTCCTTTTATTAAGTTAATGATCCTACATTTGTAGATATATTTGAATCCTGGTTTCAATACTATAACATGCATGTAATTATTGCCGGCCAGTATATTTCCTATGTTTGTATCTCTACCTGTTGCTGGCAGTTTCACACTTTATTAAATTATTATTTTTATTATTTAATTATATATTAACTATTCATCAAACTTTTGATTTCCATAGATTTGTCTTACAATCTCTGTTTTCTTCTTTCAGAAATTTAAGTGCAATTTTCCCGCTTGACTAACCATTTGCAGTTGAAAGAAGGTAAGTGAAAATATTTGATGAGATATTCGTTTTTTGAAAAATAAATATTTTTTACTTCGAAATATTTGCGCTAAAGACAACATTCTAAGTACTGAAGCCCAGTCACTTCGTAACTCAGGAGAAACAGCCTTCAAATAGTTCAAAAAATTTTTGACTTATTACTCTTTTGGCCTGACATTCCTTTTTTTTCCTATACCTAACCCTTTAAAAGATATTAACGGTGAAAATTTGACTATTTTAAGGCCAATTTGATTTTTCTTTTGACTTTGACTTGTAGGAAATTGTATACTTTCTTCTAAGAGGTGTATATCAAACAATTTTTCACGGTACCAGTACATTCGTTGTTTTGACCCACTTTAATGTGTATAATTGCACAGCTGGCGCGGAATTTTACTTTACTCGCCGCTTGCTTCAGCAGAAACCTGTCGTCATTTCAGTTCCTGAGCGCTTTATTTATTGTGCAAATTTATTATTACTGCGTAGTAGGGATAATAAAAGTGCAAGGAATTTTGAGGTGAAAATTTTTCTCGTTTCGCCTTTTGTAATGTTACGTCGCGTCCAAACGTGGCAACAAGCGTTTCATTTCTATGTGATGGCAGCAATAGATTCTGCTGAACTAAATGCCAGTGCGTGGAAGCGCTTCTTTCCAACTGCTGTCACAGCATTTTAGAAATGTTATTTTGCCAAATTGTTTCACATTCGCAATTAATTTATATTATGTAACTGTCTGAACAGCAGTTAGTAAATTTAAATGAAAAGTTGTTCACTTTCTCAATTACTGAACAAATATATATGCATATAAACGTGTTTTCATTTAATGACTATGCAGGTATTCTTGCATTTGACATATTTTAGTAGGCTGCTTGCAAAATTGTAAACAATAAACACTTTACCAATACACAAAGCAATTCTTTCAAGTTTTGTAAAATTACATGAACGGTGTTTTATAATTAGATTTAATCTTTCAGCTTGCTAAGAAAAAATGTCTCTGACAATGAACTATATCTACTTTGCGCTTTTTTCATGCAGTTATAGTCTGAATATTCTTTATTGGTCTCTGATATGTATAAAAATTCATGTACTTAAAATAAAATGAAAATCTAATGCATGGTTGGCAAAACTGCACAGCAGGATATTTCCATAAAAGTATACAGTACATGTTTCATATAGATATTCGCTGTATTTTTCTTCACAAAAAAAGTAGCATTTGTTTGCAAGTATGTTACATATCCCTTTTATATATATTTTCGTTATATTGTCACATATCACAAATCTCCTCCTCCTAATACATCCACGTCCTGTACATCGGGTGGCAACAGGTCTCTTCATTATTTGACTGTTTCATAAACTACAAAAAAATTTACTGATTCTTCCAAAACCGTCATATTTAAACAAAAGCAGATCAAGAAATATTTGTTTGCTTGTTTGTCACTAGCATATTGTTGTCTTTATGTCACTTTCCTTAGATGGATATGTTACCTGTCTCCAGAAAACGAAAGTTAAGAGTAACATGCTGAAATTTTACACTCACAGGAGGCGGAAAAACCAACAACAACTATAGTATATAAAATCGTGTTTCTAACGAACAAATAGAGGCATAGCACCGCAAATGTGTGTGCATGAATATCTAGTGCCAATTTGAAAAATGCACTTCAACTCAATTTTTATGAAAATAAAATAATGTAATGTGAAGTAAAGCAATGCTAAACGTGGAGATTTGAAGCTTAGATACAAGTACAAATATTTTATATTCCAATTAATTGATTTTTGGGAAATTAAACTAAATGTTTTTTGTTATAATATGATACATAGCAGCAAGAACAGCACCATTCTTTAGTTATTTGTATTTTATGAAAAGTTTTCTTGTTCTCTTCGATTTAATAAAGCCCATTTATTAATGTAAAATTGGAGATTCCACGCTTTCTTAACTCCATTTTGTGGCATGTTAACAAAGACTCTTTGGTTGTGCTCAAATAACTGAAAAAGCTAAAGTTTTGCATTTTATCAAATCTTTTTTTAGCTTTTAGCATTTACTTTACGCAAATTTTGAGCAAAAAACATTGACCGTACTAATAGAAATCAAAATATAAAAAGAGAGCGACATCCAAAGTACAAAAGCCCAAAACTTTGCGCTTACATTTATAGAAAGTGATTTCTAAAGCATTTTCGTGAAAAAAAAATTAAATAAATCATATACCAGCAATTTTTGCTGAATGATTTTTTTGTTACGAGCTATTTTTTTTTTCTAAATAAAATTTAGATTTTTTTATTTTAGAATGTCATTTTGAATGTCATTTTGAATGTTTTAAAACTTACTGTACACAATTTTCACCACTAAAGAAGGTTTAAAATGTGAGGGTAGTAGACTCGCACACAATAATAACTTTGGTTTTGATTTTTTACTGAATGCATGTTTCCACACTCTCCGAAGTTTGTTTACCTTCGTGAAAACGTCTAGGCTAAGCTGTAAAACGACGAATACATTAGCAAGCATTTATATATCAGCCAATATATATTTTTTGCAACATTTGCACAAAAGTCAACTAAAGCCATTTATAAAACTGACAGCCAACAGTTGGCCGAATGAAATCTAGGGAATCAAAGCGAAAATGAAGAAAGATTAGAAAAATGGAATAAAATGGAAATCGTGGCAAATAGTATGTATTTTATGTAAGTGTAAATAAATGCCGACAGGTACGAATATGTGAAAAAGCAAGTCAGAATTACAATGTTTTGCTGATATGTGTGAAATACGAGTTGGAAGGAAACCTGTTGCTTCACCTCTTTGTCAGCAATATTTTGTACTGTAATATTGAATAGAATCTTCCCCGGTTTTGTCTGAAAAAGACCTCGAAATAATATAATATAAGTATATAGGTCCACTGGTGCGTATGAGTTACGTTGTTTAGTTATTAAGATAATGTGGTAAAAAATATTTGAAAACTAAGGCCAAATTGAAATGAATGAAAGTTTGTAAGTTTTTAGTGGAAATTTCAATAAAACAGTTATAACTTATGCCATTGTTTATGAAAAGCAATAATGCTCAATAATGCTTGCACACAAACATATATATGTATATTAACGTTTGCTGAAAGAAAGAATAAACATTTGCAAATTTTACTGAAATCCACATCATTTCATATAATTTATGCGTTCTTCATTTGTTTCTGAATTGCGTTATAATAATTTAAGTCAACATAAATACCTTTAACATATAACTTCGCAGCGTGTGTTCTTGATAATATTGTCGCCCATAATGCTTTAGCGTCGACTACATTTTTGGAGACAGCAAATGTCCTAGTATTACATTATTCTGACATTTTTCTATACATGTGCAAAAAGCTCCACATTTGTTAACTTAGTCGCGCCGGTGCTCTGGTCGCCAGCCATTGAGTCAACTAACATCAGCAGTTTAAGCTGTAAGGTTTATATGTGCCCTTGCATGTTTACTCACACGCTTATCCTTCCATCATTATGTGTAGCACATTGTTGGATTTCCAAATTCGCTTATTTGCATTTTAGGAAACTTTATTTTATTTCTTTTGGTTTTTTTTGTTGATCTTAGGGTTGATTTGTATACTACGCCTCACATTTCTGCATAACCTTTTGCAACATATTTTCTTGTTTATTATTTACTTCTATATCCCATTATCGATATGTGGTTTATCCATAATAGTCTATATTTGATTCATTTGGTTTTAAATATTTTCAGTACAAAATATTTATATAAATATATATACGATGTATGTTTAAAGGAAAGGGTGAATTTTGAATTTTTTTGAAAAGTACTTATTTATTATCAATATCTATTTCATTCCCCTCGGATCAATTGTAGCAAACTGCTTTGCTTTCATTGATTTTCGAATAAAAAAAAATTCGAAGGGAGCCAAATCTGGTGAATACGGCGGTTGAGGTATGATTACGGTTTGGTTTGGGCCAGACAATCACGAATAAGCATTGATGTGTGAACTGGTGCATATCGCAATTTCGGAACAAACTTGGCTGCCACACATTTCATGCCCAAAATATTTGAAAAAATTTATTGGCATGAGTCGCTTGATATGCCAACATCCTCTGAAACTTCCCTAATACTAATTCCACGATTTTCTAAAGCAATTTTTTCAGTGTTTCTATGTTTTCTTCGCTTGTCCACTTATAAACACTTTTTGAGACAAAGTAGACTCACCGAATGCCACAGTTAACATTTCAAGTGCTTTGAAGCACTTTATTCCATTTTCAACGCAAAAATTAATACATATTCCTTGATCCATTTCTTTCAAAATCCAAAAATCGAAGAGCACACAAAAACGTGGCTAACCTTAATTTTAAATGACCTTTCAAATACGGTTTTTGCTACGCAAACAACATCATCATAATTATCGTTATTATTAACCTACTCCCTGTTCCACTTTATCTCCCTATCTAACTTTTCGATATTTGTCGATTGATTATTTGCCTGGATTCTTTTTTTATGTCGTTGTTTTGTTCTATTTCATAGCTGGTAAGGGAAAATTATCAACCATTTTTTTTTTCTGTTTTGCCTACGTATACTGGTAGAAGGTCAGCAGCTTTTTTGATCAAATGGTGGTTGGTAGTTATTTTTGAATGTTTGTGGATTGTAATCCTTTGTCAATTAGTTGAACTGCAAATATACACGCACATTTATTACAACGCTATCTGTAGCGGCTACATAATTAGCTTATTGATTAATTTGCTTATTGAAGTTCTACTACAAGTTAGGAATATAAAATAAGTCATCTTCGAAATATTTATGTTAATTAACAGTTTTCTGGAGCGATATGTGGTGGTTTAATAATATTAAATTATGGCATAACCTAAAGATGTTCAGAAATTTTGAGTATATTTTTCTTCTTCTTTTGTTGATGTCTGTTGGGATAATTGGGAGTTGTGTTGTGTTATCCTGGATGGTGGTGTCGTCGTATGAGGTGAATGTTGCGTGAGGTGGTGTGGTGATTGTGTGTCGTTAATGTGGAAGGTAT